CCTAAATTTCGACGTTCATGCTATTGATAACGAATATAACGATCAGACAGAAGTATGTCTGGCCGAATTGGTTAAGGGAGATGCATACGCTTGTCCTATAATGGCCAAACCCAGAGCGTCGACCAAGAATGAGCCTGTAAAAGATAAAAATAAAAATGCTAGAACGTTTTGATTTGATGTGACCAAAGCTAACCTTATATTTGACAAACCGTATAAGGACAAGCAGACAAAATGAAGAGATAAGTATAAATTGCCAGACTCAGATCAAATTTAGGGTAAAAAATATTGTAAGTGGCATAATGCATAATCACATATGACTAAAAATTGCTTGGTCTTTCATCATGTGTTATATGATGCTATCGAGTCTGGACGAATCACGTTCAAGTCTAAATCAAAAATGGCAGTGGATGAAAATCCTTTCCCACAATCACTTGGAGTGAATATGGTGACGACTGGTTTAAAAAGTAAGTTGCCAAAATTTAAGTTGGTCTTAGATGATGGAGAAAAAGATTCTGAGCCACATCCCAGCGTCTTCGAGCGTATTAAAAGAAAAGAGCCTAGAAAAGATGAGAGCGCTTTGTGTGTTAGATGCAAAAAGGAAATAGAGGCAAATGTGGAAGTACCGGGAATGTGGCGACATCACCATCGCCTTGATTTTGTCCCAAATATCCAACCTATTGGAGGGCGAGGTACCTCATTCTATGGAGGACCGCCTTTTGAAAGGCAGTTCAGGCCAATAAATAATGGGATGACATTCAGGCCGCAACCTCGCCAGCCAAATGTATGACATTCATTCCAGTATAATGCAGGAAGGTTGATACCTTTCAATGCGATGACCAGAACTCAATAAAGGCAATTTCAATGGAATTATGGGCGAATGATGAGGCAACAACATGGACTGCCACGTCCTAAGGCGCCTAAACTGCTCGAAGTGGCCAATCAAAATATTCTCGAAGATAGTAAAGAGATTGGTACAGGCGAATCAATGGAAGAGTTACCAGAAAGTTCTTCTGGAAGATCAAAATTCGAAAGTGAAAAGAAAGATGAAGAAGATCCAGAACCACCATCACTATCCAGTTTGGTACATTACCTCCTGTTATGGCTAATAATTATCTACTAGCCAATGAATTCAAAAATAAAGAGGACAAAGAGGAAGAGAGGGAAGATGATGAGGAAGAAGCGTGTGTGCTGGAGTGTGAAGAAGATCAAACGTCCCAAGAAGTATATGAAGAAGAAGAGGATTATGGCATGACTGATGGTGAAGAATAAATTGATTTAGAAGCAGAGATAAGAAAGAGGGGAGTGTCGCGCAATACTTTATGGAAGCAGCTACATCGGGAAGGTGTTCGCGAGATGGATTTGTTGGGAGAACCATCTGGTCGTTCCTTTGATTACTATGTGTTGTACGGGACACCCAAAAGAAAGAAGAGAGTGCCTCACTCTGAGAAGTATGGGTCACCTCCAAGAATATTGCCCTCCCTACAGGATGGGTAACTGAAGAGGATGCACTGGAAGAAAGTAAAAAGGAAATCCAAGAAGCAAAAGCTCAGTGCTAAATATTGCATGTTGACTTATCGCGAAGAGATGATTCAACGGAAGATAAACAGGAAGTGGAAATAGATGCAGCTGAGAAGGTCATCTTCAAGAGTCTAACCATGAAATTGACTAAACATTTGAGACCATTGTATGTGAAGGCCTTAATCAATGGTATACCTGTGGCAAAAGTACTTATTGATAATGGAGCAGCCATAAATACTATCCCGTCTAGGATGATGAGGAAGTTTGCAAAGAAAGAAAGCGATATGATCCCAACAGAGGTTATTCTCACAAATTTCAATAGGGGAGCAACTTCTGCTAAATGAGTAATGCCACTGGATATAACCGTAGAAACGACTACTAGGACCACAGTCTTCTTTGTAATAGATGGTCCTACTAGTTACAACGTGCTATTAGGAAGAGACTGGATTCATGGAAGTCGTTACATACCTTCGTCGCTCCACCAATGCCTGATTTTCTGGAATGACAAGGGTGAAGCAGAAGTGGTGCAGGCCGACCATAGACCCTTTGTTGCAGAAGTAAACTCAGTAGAAATGTTCATGTACTAAGGAAACTATGGACCTATCAGAATAGTTCAAGATGGAGAAAAGACTCAAATCGTCGCACAGAGTGAAGAGCCACTTTCAGTAGATACACTTACTGAAATGTTCAGTCAAATGAGGCCAAACATAGTGGCCCTAGAAGAGCCAGTAATTGACAAAAATGTTATCAAGGAACTTTAATGAGTTGTTGGCAACAAGAATATATGGTCGATATACAGGCCTTCAAAGCCAAGTCAATGGCTTTCAATAAAGAATGCAAAGATAAGATGAAAGAAGAAACGACATTCAAGACATTGGGAGCCAAATTGGCAGTGTTCGAGTTGGAGCAAAATATGGACCGAGAAATCAACAAGGTGGATTGCCTAGAAGATGAAGTGCTTACAAGGAACCTAGACAACGAGGTACTGGGGATCACCAAGCCTGGACATGCTCAAGTCCAAGACCCTTTAGTAAAGGTGAATATTGGTGACGAAGGGGAAGATCGCCCAACATTCGTCAGCCAGATGCTCAGTCAGGAGGTTAGTGATAAGTTAATTGCTTTATTAAAAGAATATAGGGATTATTTTGTTTGGGAATATGAACACATG